ATAAGAATAGCAAGAATGTTCAAGAATAAATCCAAAAAATGTTGGAAATGTCATCAGATACCTGGCTCATACTACCATATGTGGTGGACTTGTGCGGATGCGAGAAAATACTGGACTAAAATCCACACGTGGTTGGAAAAATATGACAAAAAAACATATAGATTTGAAACCGGAGATATTTTTATTGGGAATTTTACCTGATACATACAGTAAAGATTTAAAATATTTGATTGTAAATGTATTAACAGCGGCTAGGATTGTATTTGCTAAAAATTGGAAAAATGAGAAAATACCATCGCAGGAGGAGACTATTAAGAAAATATTGTAATGTGCTGAAATGAGTAGATTGACATTTGAAATTAGAGAACAAGAGGATAAACAATTTTACAAAATTTGGGATCTTTTCTATCAATGGTTAGATAATAAAATAAAATATTAAAATATGTAGAATTTTAGAAAACAATGAATATATAAAGGTGTATTTCTTTTCTTTTTTTATTATTATATCTATAAAATGTTTCTAGGATAGATTTGGGAGGATTATATGAATTGTTATAAAATAAACTAAGTAAATTATAGTTATCTCGCAAAGTATGAATGAACAAAATTATAATCAAATGATTGATTAATAATGATACTAGGGTATTCAATCTTTGATTGATAATATGAGTTATTAGGTAATGTAACTGTAATTGAGACTATGAAATGGATGCACAAAAAATTTGTAAACCAACCGACACACTGCTTGTACACTTATGGAAGAGAGTTGGATATTTTTATGTTTTGTTTGTTTTTGTTTGTCTTTAAAAACCAATAAAATTTACAAAAAATAAAAATAAATAAAAATTTGAATCCCACCCCTGCCCAGTTGGTTTAGAATAATCCCAGTGATTTATCTGATTTTTACATTATGTTCCACATAGGAGTTTTAGAAACTACTTCTTTTACTGTGGATCTCAGCAACAGACATATTGCATTTATCAAATATAAAATCAATTTGTAAATACTACTTTACATGCTAAAGTTTTGTTAAACCAGCATTTTTTTTTACATATGACTGAGGTTTCTAGAATATGTTACAGTTTTCATTAACTGGATTATGTGCTCCCTCGATATCATAAATAAGACTAATGGCAAAGATATAAACTTAGATTAAGATAATACATCAATACATTTTCCAAAAGCTTCCTTTTCATTTCCATAATCAGAACACTCCACTCTTCATCTCCAAAAGCTTTGTAGAACTAAAGTATTTTCACTGTTTCCTTAATATTATCAGAGACAGGACCATCTTTGCCTCAGGGAGAAGCAGAGGCGGTATTCAGTAGATTCTAACCAATTCTGGAGAACTGGTAACGAAAATTTTGAGTAGTTCAGAGAACCGGCAAATACTACCTCTGACTGCCCCGCCCCCATCTATTCTATACCTCCCAAGTCCCAGCTGATTGGCTGGGTCTTCTTTTATTGTCCTGCACAGGAAAACGGAGCTGGAGAGCAAATTAGTGGGGTGGTGAAGGAATGGGATTTTGCAGTAACTTCCCCCAGAAGTGGGGAGGGAATGGAGATTTTACAGTATCCTTTCCCTGCCATGCCCACCAAGACATGCCAACCAAGCCATGCCATGCCCACCATTTTTTACTACCACAGAACCAGTAGTAAAAAATTTTGAATCCTACCACTGGGGACAAGTTGTTCCAATGGATAGAAACCATAAAAGAGATTACTTGCTTATGGGCCTCCATCTGTCTTACTTCCTGGTAGATAATTTGTTGTAACATACCCCATTTAGTGGATTCTATCATGTGGGTAAATTCTGCCTGGAGATAATGGGCTTGAAATTTGTAAAGTCATAAGCTACACAGTACTTCCCCTGGTAACCCACTGGGTCATTGTTAAGTTCCGAAGAAAGGGGAGGCCACACCAGAGCATTCTGTA